CGATGATAATTCAATATTATGGAGTTGAAATGATCACAAGTGACTTACCTCAAGTTTCCCTCTTTATAGTGTTCTTGAAGATTCTAGCAATTTCTTGGTAGTTCATCTATAGTAGTGGTCGTGCCTTCCACCAAATGCAATTTGTTTTTCCTTTACTTGCTGCACAATGAGTTTTGGAGCAGCTGACCAAATCTTTTTGAAGCTATTTAGATGAATGGACAGCAGACCACTTAATTCCTTGACTTTTAAGGAGGAACCAAGCAATTAATATCCTTGGGGAAACCATCTGGACTCCCATAGCCGTTGTGACTGACTTCACACAAGTGGGGATTTACCCACTAATTATTATAAATATACTTCTCTTATGCACCTCTCAAATTGCAGCTCAAAATCTCACTTTAAGAGTTTTTAAATGTGGTTGTCCACTTACCACTATATTAATCAATATTCTGGACACGTTTTAGTCACCTATGCAAGGTCTAGTTTGACCAATCAACTCTCATTTATTAGGCATGTCGTAATACACATCTTTAAAGTCTTTATTGCAGCTATTATAGACAATATAATGAAAGTGCTCATTGCACTTCCCATAATTAGCCATGAATTAATTTACAAGACCTCAATTAACAGCTCACTAAATTGTAGCCTAGAGAAAGCTTCTTATCTCTTCAATTATGAGACTAAGTGTCTCATTTCACTCCGAAATCCTTCCGAACCCGAACCAACTAACCCGGTAAGTCATAAAATAACTGTAAAGAATAACTTGAGCAGTAAATGGCGGAACGAGGTTATAATACTCAAAACGACCGGTCAGGTCGTTACATTCGCGAAAGCCAAGTTTGGCAAGGCATCGCGTTCGCGAGACTGCCCTCGCGTTCGTGAAGAAGAAATCTAGGGCAGCACTAAAATGTGCTTCGCAAACGCGAGGGTGCTATCGCGTTCGCGAAGAAGAAATTTCTAGACAGCAGAACTTAAGTTCTGAAAATGGGATTTCGTCCCATTTTTTATTATTCAAGATTTTGAGCTCGGTTAAGGCGATGTTTGGGCGATTTTTACGGGAAAACATTGGGGTAAGTTTTTCTTATCCTATATTGATTATATTTCATGATTCCATACTCGTTTACATCATGAATCCGCGAATTTATGGAAGAAAAATCAGATTTTTATAAAATCTTCCAAAAATATAAAATGAAGATTTGAAAGTCAATCCGATGTCGGAATTTGATAATTTTTGTATGGTTGAACTTGTATCGGAATGGGTATTCGAATATTATGAATTTTTTAGGGATTCGAGACGTGGTTCCCGCTGTTGATTATTTTAAATAAATTTCAGATTTTAATTCGAAAAATTTTTATATTCATATGGAATTAATTCCTACGATTTGTATTGAGTGTATTGAATTGTTTATGACTAGATTTGAGGATTTCGGACACGAATTCGCGAGGCAAAGGTTTATTGAATTCTTGAATTTGGTTGCAAAGCGAAGTAAGTATCGTGGTTAACCTTGACTTGAGGGAATAGAACCCTTGAATTATTTGCTATGTGAATTTCATGTGTAACGATGTATAGGCAAGGTGATGAGTGCCTATACTTTGTCAAATTAATTGTTTGCTTAATTATTTAAATATCTTTAATTGTTTTAAGACACAAATTAATTATTATAATAATTATTTCTCTCTTATTCCTTATCAAATATTAATGCTTGAATTCCTGTAATAATTGTTACATGCTTATTTGATTTATGTGTCTTAATTTCTACTTGACATTTAGCATATTAAATATTAAACTGCCTATTTTCTCCCTAATTTTCACAATTAATTGCTACTTGTCATTATTTATTTCATAAATAAATTATAATTATTGTATGCCTTGATGCTTAACAGTTTCTCATTGAACGTGGTATTTATTGAAGTATTTTTTTATTACATTTAAGAGTTGTTAAAATATATGGGGGGAACGGGTTGCACGCCACAACAGATTTATTTAAAGTTTATATTGGGGATCGGGTTGCACGCCGCAACAGATTTAATTTAAGTTTATATGGGGGAACGGGTTGCACGCCGCAACAGATTTATTTAAATTTTATATCGTTGGAACGGGTTGCACGCTGCAATGGAAATAAGTTGAGGGATTGTGACTGCTGAATTGACTTCAATTATTGAGATTATTTACCGGTCTTACTAATATTCACGTTATTATTATTATTATTGTGTACAGGTTAATGTAAGCAACTTGCCTTAGCCTCGTCACTACTTCGTCGAGGTTAGGCTCGGCACTTACCAGTACATAGGGTCAGTTGTACTGATACTACACTCTGCACTTCTTGTACAGATTTTGGAGTTGGTCCCAGCGGCGCACTGTAGATTTGCCCGGATACAGCTACCAGTGGAGACTTGAGGTATAACTGCATAGCGTTCGTAGTACTGAAGTCCCCTTCTATCTTATCTCAGTTGTGTATTATATTTCAAACATCTTGACTTTTATTCAGACCTTTATTTGTATTATTCTAGAAGCTCGTGCACTTGTGGCTCCAGTTATGGGATGGTATTTAGATATCACGTTTATTATGGATTATTCACTTTATCTCAAACTTTATTTCCGCATTTATTTCTTTGTTATTAATTAATTTAAAATTATGTTAAAATGGCTAATTATATTCTAACGTTGGCTTGCCTAGCAAGTGAAATGTTATTCGCCGTCACGGTCCCGAAGGTGGGAATTTCGGGTCGTGACAGTTGATATTAGGATCTTACCCTATCCCTTGTTAGTCACTCTCCCAAATGGCTATAGAGTCAGAGTAACAGAGATTGATAGTGTGTACCTTGCTTCCCAGATTACTCTACACAAAGTCATATTTTTTCCTTCCTTCAAATTTAATCTCATCTCTATATCTTCTTTAACTGCACAACTTAAATCCTTGATAGCCTTTACTGATGCTTGTTGTCTACTTCAGGCCCCTTCATTGAAGAGGCCTCTAGAGATTGGTAAGATCAGGGATGGGTTATATCTCTTGTGCTCCCTCTGTTTAAAGAGTGCTAGTACTGTTTCTACACCTATTTCATCTTTGTTTCCTGCCTCATGTCATGCTTGTGATGTACATAGCTTGCAAAAATTTTCATCTAGTGTCTGTAATCACAGTACTTCACAAATTCATTCCTTTTCAAGTGTAAATAATTACATCTGCAATAAAACACCTAACTACGATTCCTTCGTGCCTCATAAGAGTGATGTCAATGTATTGTGGCATAATAGATTAGGCCATGTTCCCTTTTCCAAAATGAGAAGCATTACCACTATCCCTGCTACTTTTTCTGCTAGACAACCTTTTCTATGTTTTATATGCCTCATGGCCAGACAGACTAAACTACCTTTTCCTCATAAAGCCAGCAGCACCAAACAAATTTTTGACCTTTTGCATGTTGATCTGTGGGGACCCTATCATGTCCACACATGATAATTATAAGTACTTCTTAACTATGGTAGATGATCATAGCAGGTCCACATGGACTCATCTTTTGTCTAGTAAAAGTAATGCCCTTTAGATTCTTAAAGCCTTCATTTCCTTTGTTAAAACCCAATTTCACCTGACCATTAAGTCAATAAGGTCAAATAATGGTTTGAAATTCACCAGTACAAAAGCAAATTCTTTCTTTCAGACCCAAGGCATTGTTCACCAGAGAACTTTTCCATACACACCACAACAAAATGGTGTGGTTGAGAGAAAATATAGGTACCTTCTTGAGATAGCCAGGGCACTTTTATTTCAATCAAAGTTACCTGTAAGATATTGGGGTGAATGTATCTTAACAACTACTTACCTCATTAACAGACTACCTACCACATACCTCAAGAACAAATGCCCTTTTGAACTCCTATACAAAAAGAAACCAAACTATTCCCATTTGAAAAGTTTTGGGTGTCTGTGTTTCCCCACTATACCAAGAATACATAGGGACAAATTTGATCCCAGAACTGTACCCTATGTCTTTGTTGGGTATCCCTTTGAAACCAAGGGATACAAGGTACTAAACTTGCAAACCAGAAATATTCATATATCCAGAGATGTAATCTTCCATGAGAATGTATTTCCCTTTGATGTGTCACCTGTTGCGGGTTCTTTTCCCTCAACTCTACCACCTTTTATCTCTGATTTACACACTGTTACATCTCAGCCCACAGTAGGTAATTCATCAAGTCCAGACAACCATGGAGTAGTACATGATCATTCTTCACCTTATCACTCTACATCTTCTTTTCCAGAGCCACACCCTTATTCTCCCAAGATCCTTCCACAAAATCTATTTGATCCCATTCCACAAAATGATTCCCATGTCTTAAATCCCAGAAGGTCTGACAGAGAACACAAATTACATGCTCATCTGCAGGATTATGTCTATTCCATACCTCACTTGAAACCAGCATCTACTTCTCTACCCACTGATCCACCAGCCACTTCCAAACTCCCTTAATGCTTTGTTCTCCTTAAATAGTCATATTTCTACTGATTCTTTAATCCATGATAGTCAGTTATTTGTAATGAATGTCTGCAATGATTTTGAACTATCTCCATATGAGGAAGCTACCCTTAATCCTGCTTGGTAAGAAGCAATGACACGGGAGTTTGAAGCCCTACATGCAAACCATACCTGGGATGTAGTTCCCCTGCCACGTGGGAAGCAGGACATTGGCTACAGGTAGGTATGCAAGATCAAACACAAAGCTGATGGAACATTAGAGAGGTTCAAAGTTAGGCTAGTAGTAAAAGGGTATACTCAGCAGCCTGGCATAGACTACATAGAAACCTTCAGTCCTGTGGTGAAAATGACAACAGTGAGAGAACTTATAGCTACTGCAGCGAAGAAGCAGTGGCATATTTTTTAATTGGATGTGAACAATGTGTTCCTTCATGGAGATCTCCATGAGGAAGTATATATGCAAATGCCACCAGGATTAGAGATCAACTCTCCAGGTTTAGTGTGCAAGTTGAACAAATCCTTATATGGCCTCAAACAAGCAAGCAGACAGTGGTACTCTAAGTTGACTTAGGCTCTTTGTTCAAAGGGCTATGTATACTCTCTCAATGACTACTCACTCTTTTTACAAGCAAACAAAGCATTCTACCATTTATATATTTGTATATGTAGATGATGTTATCATCACTGGGACAGATCTTTCAGAAATTACTCAACTCAAATGTTTCTTACATAATCAATTTAAGATAAAAGACTTGGGAAAGCTGTATTACTTTCTTGGTTTGGAGGTTCTTTACACAGGTAATGGTGTGATAATATCTCAAAGTAAGTTTGCATTAGACTCACTCAAAGAATATGACTGTCTTTCTTATAGTAGCATCTCCACTCCCCTTGATCCAAATGAAAAGTTGAGAGCTAAAGAAGGAGCAGCATTGCCAGATCCTACCTACTACAGGAAATTGGTGGGAAAATTGAATTTCCTCACCAATACCAAACTGGACATAGCTTTCAGTGTACATCATCTTAGCCAAATCATGCAAGACCCCAGGGAGCCACATTTGAAAGCAGTTTTCCACTTGCTTAGGTATCTGAAGAATGATCCAACTCTGGGAATTTTTCTATCTAATGACTCTGATTGTAGCCTGAAGGGTTATTGTGATTCAGACTGGGCTGCTTGCCCAGACTCTAGGAGGTCAGTCATTGGATACATAGTCCTGCTAGGCAATAGTCCAATCTGTTGGAAATCCAAGAAACAGGAAATAATGTCTTTATTCTCAGCAGAAACGGAGTATATGTCCTTGAGAAAGGTTGTTTGAGAGCTAACTTGGTTGTGCAGACTATTTGATGAGCTCAATATTCCTTATCCTAAACCAGTCTCAGTGTTTTGTGACAGTCAATCTGCCTTACACATGGCTCGTAATCCTGTTTTCCATGAACGAACCAAGCATATTGAGGTCGATTGCCACTTTGTGCGAGATAAGCTCCAAGAGAAGTTGATTTCTCTCCATCATGTTGATACTGGTGCTCAGTTAGCAGATGTCCTCACTAAAGCTCTCACTCGTGTCAAGCACTCTACAATATTGAACAAGTTGGGTGTGAAGACTTCACCTCCAACTTGAGAGGGGTATTGAGATAACACTGGATAACACTGTATTTAATTTCATTCTTTGTATACTTCCGAATAGTTTAGCTAGTTTAGTTTGTTAATCAATTAGCTAATTAGTTAACAGTAGCTTAATTGTCAAAGTAGTTGAAGTTTGTTCCACGTGTATATATACAATCCCTTTGGGATATCAGATATACAACATTTCATTCTCTCATATTTTGAGATTCAAGTCCCTTTCTCTCTCTGCTCATGTGAAGCTTCTGGAGTTCATTAATGGAGCCTCTAATCGAGAATGAGATTGGGTGTCCAAATCCATAAATTGCCAGTTACGAATAAATTCTCGGTGTTCTTCCAAGTTCCTCTTCTTTTGCTCCTTCGATTCTCCAAAATTTAAGCTAACTCTAATGAGTATTGGTTGGATTTTTCAAGGTATTACCTTATTTCTATTTGTGTAAGCACAATTTGATGGGTATACCTGGTATAGCTGAGTTCCTTTTTTTTTTTTGAGCATGTAATACTTTGGTTCTAATTTTTCGAGATATTACTGACTTAGAAATTTTCATTCAACTTCTAGAGTTCTCTGTGGATATGTCTTTTTCTTCTTCTTTTTTTTTCTCCAATTAAGTGTACCATTTTGTATTTATGGATGCTATTTTTTTTTGGGTCTTTCTTCACGTTTCCTTGTGAATTCTGTACATGCATATGATTATTTGTTCAAATGCATCTTATGAAAATTCTTTGCATAGGTGCATACTCCACTTTGGAACTTTGCATACTAATGTAGCTAAGGTGCTGGATAATATGCCTAAAGCAATTAAATATTTTTTTTATTTCTTTTCCTTTTTCACATAGGAGTTCTACAACTTACATATGGTTCAGCAATCCAAAGGTATTTAATTTATTACTACTTGAAAATATTTAAAGAAAATTTATATGTGTGTATCTTTTGAAATAAATTGCATTCACTTCCTTTTTAAAAAAAATCCCAGTTGCTTTCATGTATATTTCTATTGCAATACTACTATCTACGCTTTATTTTAATTGAAAAAGATAGATATAAAAAAAAGTGCACATGATCCTATGAAATTAATGCAATTATGAAGTTAATTTTTTGTTAGTTTTTAATTTGGCAAAAGAGGAAGGTAGATAAATCCAAAAATTGATTCAACGTGATGTTGATTTTGCACAAGATATTAGCAATTTCTAGGCATTTTGTATTAAAATTTTGAAGAGCATTATCGCAGTGAAGAGTAAATGAATGATGTATGAAATAGATGTATTGTTGTAGGATCCAAGCAAGGTGAAAATGAAAAAAAAAAAAAAAAA